CAATTTCCTTTTTAAATCGATAAACAGCTGTACCTTTATTAAAAATGATAGCTTCTAATTTTGTTCAGTAACGAAGTGCTCGAACCAGTATTCAATATATGTGTATTCCCCTGCATTTATTTGTATATTTGATCCATTATTTTTTTCACCCGACAGTCCTTATTTAATTCATTCAACGGTAAATAATGTCAGCGTTACTATTTAAAAAATAAAATAATGGTTAATAAATCCGTGCATCTACCTCAGCCGATTTTCTTTACAGATTAATTATGATGAATATTAATGTGTTTGGAGTAAATAAATATCCCACACAATAAGTCGTGTTTATGGTTGCCTTGTACTTTATGTATTAACGTAGCACACACGCAGGTAACTGCACCTTTAACATTTTGTAATAAATACAGTATGCCAGAAATGATGAACACTGCACCATACAGCTGTTTCGTTCTTCTAGGACTCATCGGTGATGGTAGGGGCCAACAAATTGGATATCGAAATTGTTCAAACTACTGTGGGTTTTTTAAACAGATGGGCAGGTGCGTAAAACCCCTTAATTAATGAATTTAACTCATTCACACCTGAAAATTCACAATGAACTATTCCAACCTTTGAATTGGAAGGGTTCAAATGTGTCCTCAGGAGTGAATGAGTTAAACATTAGAGCGGTACTGCTTAATTTCAAATAATACAATCTGTAAAGTGTGCATATTATGAACCATGCCGCTACCAAAAGTAGACAACTGTGGCCATCAAGGTGACAGCAAACGAGTGCTAAAAGTAGTCCACCAGCAGAGTCTACAACCTTGAATGTTGTAACATGAACGTAACACACACGAGCAAATGACTGCACCTTATAAACTTGGTAATAGATACAGTATGCGAGAAATGAATAACACTCCATCATACAGCTGTTTCGTCCTTCTAGCAATAACACTACATCATACAGCTGTTTCGTCCTTCTAGCAATAACACTCCCTCATACAGCTGTTTCGTCCTTCTAGCAATAACACTGCCTCATACAGCTGTTTCGTCCTTCTAGCAATAACACTGCCTCATACAGCTGTTTCGTCCTTCTAGCAATAACACTACATCATACAGCTGTTTCGTCCTTCTAGCAATAACACTACACAATACAGCTGTTTCGTCCTTCTAGCAATAACACAACATCATACAGCTGTTTCGTCCTTCTAGCATTATCATTTTCTAGTACCCCTAAACCACACCAGTAGATTGTGATGGTGAACAATACAGTAAAACGAGGCTATAACGAATCCTAAAGGGACCTTCTTAAAATAGCACTGAGTTTCACCTGTGGTCCGGTACGGCTGATTTGATTAGTAATATGAATGTAACATTCGCATTATGACCATATTACAACATAGAAGAAAGTGGGAGAGGAGCTGGGGAATTCCTTATTAACTTTAAGCTTTTCAGCATATAGTGAAGATTATATTAAGTCCCTGTTTCTTGTGATACATAATAAAGCGTGTAGCAAACTTCACAGTCAGGCCTCTGTTGCTAAAGCATTGTTAGTCTGACGAAAAACTAGCGCCAAATCTTAATCTCAATTATTTTTAAAAAATATATTGAAATAAGCAGTTAAAATTACACGTAGAAAAGTTGAAGAAAATATCATCTGAAGACATTAAACAAACCGACACAAAGTATTTGTTATTTTCCGGTTATATATCCATTTAAAAAAATTAGAAACGTGTTTTTGAAAACCACTGGTTATGCGTGTCAGTCTTTAAATAACAGGGTTTTTTTTCATTAAGAGTCAACAAACCATGTTCAGGTGGTATTCACAGTTTTTGTTTGTATCAGGTGAATGATCTCTTTGTGTATGAGAGTTTACATGAAGGGTTCTTTGTACAAGTGATATGAGAAAGACAAAATATAACAATTTAAACCCCAGAAAATACCTGTGGTATGTCATTTTCAAAGGTGGAGAATCAAAAATATCGTTGCTGGACAAAACCTATAATAGTTATTGTTAATGGTCATCTAATTAAAGTCAGTTTCATATAACCCAATATTTCACCGAAAGTTTTGTACCATACGGCAACGATATGGTAACAGTTTCAAAAGACAACGAAATGGTGTGGTTTGGTACAATTAGTTTCAAAGTCTAAACAATGTAAAACAATGTATGTTCATATAATTAAGGATTCGTTCCTCGTGGTGGTTCATTATCAAAACGGTAGACGATCATCTGCCCATGCCAGAATAAAGGTAGTTCAATGTTTTAACAACGTAGAACACTGTATGCTTATATTAACTCATTCATCCATGAAGACACATTTGAACCCTCCCAATTCAATAGTTAGAATAGTTCATTATGATTTTTAAGGGGTAAATGAGTTTAGGTTTCGGTCCTCGTGGTAGTTCATTATCGAAACGGTAGAGGATCGTCTGCCCTGTGTCAGAATAAATGTTGTTTTGTAGTAGCGGGCCACGATGTGATTCTTCAAACACTTGTGTGTCTATATATAGAAATGTTATAACATTTCTCTGTGTACTCTTCTCACGTTTTTTGACAGAATAAAATGAAATTTACACAATATCTGCGTGCAAATATTCAGCTAGGCAAGCCACCCTTCCTCAAACCACACACACACACACACGCACTACACTTCTTTTCTTTAGGTCAACGATCCCTAACTCTATCAAGTATTCTTATGAGTCCTAAATTTACTAAAAGTTAATTCATTTTAAAAAACGCATTATGAAGACTTATGTCCAGTGTTATTCAAGAAAAATAACATATTTCATTTATAGAAAAAAAAATCCTAAAAATTTAAAATATTCTATTTACATTTAATGAAAAAACTGAGAGCATCTAAAAGCAGAACTTTTGAGAATATCCAGTAAAAAAGAAGGAATATATATATGAACATATATGTACATCTACATTACATTAAAATTTACAATAAAAATAAACACTTAAAAAGTTCGACAAAAATAAGACAATTCATAAATCGAAACAAGAAACGTGCTTGTGTAAGGCAGATATGTTTACTTTACTGGTCATATTTTGTATCTATATTTAACTGACATCTTGCAAACACTTTTATGCCTGTGGCTTGGATAAGAATAAACCCTTGAATGATTTAAACAAGTAAGACTAGGCCGCATCACTTAACTTTTCTTGGATGATGGCTCCAATAAGAAAGATTTCTAAGATTTCCAAGACACATATATATATGTGTGTAACAAGAGGTCATGTATATATAACATAGTTTGAATGCATAACAGGCAAACATTCTATATCATAGCATAGTTCATTCATAATCACAGATATACATGTTATTGGATACAAATTAGTCGTTCGCAAAAAGAAACACTTATAGAATAAAGACACCCTAATATTTTTGTTAATTTTTGGACATATAAGTTTACATATTTTAAAAACAATTCTATTAAAAATTGTGAAACATTCCTTTCATTTTTTTATGGTTTGGACTGGAAGTCATTTTCTTATGCTTTCCATTATTTGGACTACAAGTAAGTAATGAAACTCAACTCCAATACAAGTGTCACAAGGTGGGCATATTCTGTCCTGTCTTTGAAGTTCTAAAGCAAATAAATCCCTATCGTTTGCCTTTAATTGTATCAAATAATCTTCTAAACCAAAGTGATATTTGAATATAGATTACAATCGTCCTATAATCGCCGTGAAATAGTCTACTGACCGAGAACATTATCAGTATACAAGAATGATGATTATAATAAAGAGTATATGTATATTTACTTCTTAATATTTAAAGCAAAGTATTTGGTTAATCGTAACTAACGGTGTGTAATAATATTGCAATACCAACGTGTCGCAACATTTATCTGGCAATGATGATATTGCAATATGAGTAAAATGACAATATATTGCGTTAGTATTTGTTTATAATTTTCGGCGTTTAAGCAACAGTATTGAAACCGTTTTGACAAGGAATAATATTAAATTGAATCAATTTTATTATCCAAAGTAAAAGAATATAGAATAATTTTTAACTTATCATTGAAGCTTGCTGTACTGACTTTTCATAATTGCAATATATAACATTATTTAAAGTAAACTGAACTTATAGGAATAAGTTATAGTGTTATTCTTAATACTGTAATATTAAAAATCACCAATAATACCCACCCTAATAAGGACTATTTTGTATGAGATGTATTTTATAATGTTTGTATGTTTATCCATTGTAATATTTGCCCTGTTGACACACGATTGTACGTGTGAGGAAATTGCACGTATATATCCCCACCCACCGGACCGTATATTCACCCAATAATACACATGTACGGATCATGGGTCGGGGATCTTTACATGCCATTTCCCTTTGTGTCTTCTTTCGGTCCGAGTGAAAACTACAATATTGGAAATCTTGAATGGAAATGTCAACTTGATAAGCTAAAAATATTAATCTAATTACTTAGTAAAATATCAATTGATATCAACATGTGAATTAGTTACCTTCACATTCCCACGTGAGAACAGACATTTTGATATCTGTGAATATCTTTTTTATATGTCTGCGTTCTTAATTCATTGTACACTGTCATAAATCAATGCAAGGAGCCAGTCATCTCAAAAAATAGTAATGTTTTAAAACAATTAAGTCAATATTTTAGACATTTGATTAAATATCATACAATCATCATCATAATATATATTACCCTACCTACAAAATTGATATAAGATATTAATAATTAAATATTTTGCTAAATGTCAAAATGGCTACACATTAAGAAAAAAATATTTATAATTAAGAAATTCTATATCAATGTCACCAATCTCTAACACATGTAGCTACTAGACGACTTACGTGTTGTTGGTAAGCACCACATTAACTCATCTGAAATGGACTATAAAAGTTTTTTTTATAAATATTTTTCTCTCATGTGTCTCTACCACTGTTAAACAACTCTACACAAAAAGATGTACAGCCATGTCGAACATGGCTGTCAATAACAAGTTTAGGAATTATTATGTGAATACCTACCCTCATGAATAAGGACGCCGAATGTATCAGTATTGAACCTCCCTCGTCTAGGAATATACGTCCACGATCTCGTAAACACCAACACTGCTTTAACTAGTACTGTGCGATTTATTTTAACCAATCAGCGACCGCACAGCCAACCTATCGTGACCACAATAAGCAATTTTTTTGCAACATGGTTTATCAGCTTAACCGAAACTTGTATGAAAGAATTCAATCACTTTTTTTACGAGTATACCTTTAAGATACGTTTTCTCGTAGGTTATTTACATAATAAATATATGAGTAAAGAAATCGGGAAACGAAATGTTACTGGTCACTATGAATATATTATAAAATGTGACGTATGCAGTTGCTTGTATAAAGCTGATGTGGCGTTTCAAAACATACCATACTGTTTGTCAGCAGTGAAATGAAACGTCAATGCTGCTTCAATTTAACGTCGTCAGCTGATATGGATGAAGAGCCGAGAAGAAAACATGATTTTTACTTGTGTGTGTGTGTATGCATCCGGAGTCCTGATACAACAAACTATGAAGCATGGACACAGGTAGGTTGTCGAGAAAAGATTACACCTGCTGTTACCCACTGCATGTATCGAAAGAGCCGGCTAATGTGTGAACCCCCTGCAGAATAGCAGATTTGCTTTTCTGTCCTCAATGTTGGGACAAAGGGGCGACCAAAATAAATATGCTGCACCAATTGCAAACGGTGGGATCTTCATCTTTCTCTATATATCTAACTACCTTTTATTTCCAAGCGCCTCGCTTGGCAAAACCTTACGTTTGACTTTAATGTTGAACGTTCGCCCAGGTGAGGAAGGCAATTGGTTCTGTCTCCAGGCCGGGACATACCGAAGTCCTTAAAAATGGTATTGTTATTTCCTGATGAACGTTCAGCATTAATAGGGAAAAGGCAACTGGTTCACCCGTTGTCAGTATAATGTGACCGGGCGGAATGCTGTGCTGGGTGCCTTCGGCGAGTATGTTAACGAATGATCCATTATAATTAAACAACATTCCGAGATAAGGGTAAGAATCATCACGAGTTATTGGATGATCAAATAGTGTAAAATTAAATCGCCGTCTGCTTTTCCGTTTTTCAAAAATTATTATTTTTGTCTTTTTGGTATTGTAGTCAATTTCGAGTTTTCACAATAATTTTGAAAACAATTAAGTGCATTCTGTAAATATTCAGGTGATTCTGACATCAACACAATATCATCTGCATATAAAACAACAAATAATTTCACATACATACCAAGGTTATTTTCACATAATCTGTCAATTTATTGCAAACATGATACATTATTTTGTTGAAAATACTCTTCTAAATCGTTAAGAAATATAGAAAACAAAAATGGTGACAAATTTTCGCCCTGTTTTAAACCAACATTGCACATAAAAAAGTCAGTTATCTCATTTCCATTATGAACACAAGATTTTGTGTTTTCATATAAATTATGTATTCCTTTGAAAACTTTCCCTGTTAGTGAAAAGGATTCTCCATAAACCGGCTCGCCAAACCATATCGAAGGCTTTTTTAAAGCCGATAAATGTACAATATAACTTTTAGTTTTTTGACAAATGTATAGAGATAAGAATATGTAATATAAAAATATGTTCAGTGGTTGAATACCCCTTTCTAAACCCGGCTTGTACTTGCGATATAGGATTAATTTCATCTGCTAATGCAGTTAATCTATTATTAATTATAGATGTAAATAACTTGCCTAGACATGAAACTAATGTGATTGCTCTATAATTATCAAGATCCTGTTTATCACCTTTGTTTTTGTAGATAGGTTTAATAATTCCTATTGTCCAATCTAAACCTGTGTTAAGTACAATAAAAAAAAAATCGATTAAACTGGAAGAAATGTTTGTAGAGTATGTTTAATATGTTCATTTGCAATTCCATCTACACCACCAGCCTTATTATTCTTTAATTTATATACAGCTCCTTTAATTTCATCTTCAGTTATTGTGTCATTTAATATTTGATATATTGCATTGTCATGTATATCAGTAATTATAAACTCGTCTTCCTCCTCCATATCATTACTATTAAGGTTTTTAAAATAGATAAACAATTCCTGTATAGTTAGATCAACTTTATGTGCTTGATCGTTACCTGATAGTTTGTTTAAAATATCCCAAAGATGTTTTGGATCATGCTTAACCGAGTTTCTTATTCCATACTGTTAAGATACTTTTTGAAACATTTAATCATTTCTTTTTTATATTGTTTACTTTTGTCTTCAACTTTTTCCTATTTACTTCATTCTTAACCCTGCTATATTCCTTTTTCGATACATGGAATTCTTTCCTTAACTTATCACATTGTTTAGTATACCATGTTTTGTTGTTTCTTTTCCTATTCTTGTTAATGCATTTTTGTTTTTTACCAAATACATTAGAAACGGAAGATGTAAAAGTATGGCTAATTTTGTGAATAACATCATCTATTTCAGCTCGAGAGATTTGGTCATTTGGTTTATCAACTAATCGATCTAATACATTATTTAATGAATCCCTATTTTCTTTGTGTTCATTTATAATAAAATCTACAAAATCATTTTTTAATTCATTTTTCCATTTTTTATAATCATCATTTACTATGTTTGCATTAGATAAATCGTATACTTTGTTACCATTTATCGATGACCCACAAATGGTAAACTCAATGCGACAATGCACATCCGAGAGCAAACGATCGAAGTCAGAAACTTCAAATTCATTGATACAACGGAATAATTCTGATGATACCAAAAGATAATCTATTACTGATGAATTATTACATGTAGTTAAACATGACTGTAGCCTTAGTGAATAAAGTTAATGAAGTCCCCCGAACAAAGTGGGGGACTTATTGGTTTTACTCCGTTTCTTATTATTATTAATAATATTCTTCCTCCGTCGTAAAAGTTTCCGACACATTTCTCAAAAACTATTGGACGGAACTTAATAAAACTTAAACAAGTGTTCGTCATATGACGGTCAGGGTGTATGCAAATGGCCTTTCATTTTCCGATCTGTCAACTAAGATGGCCGCCGTGGCCTCTGATTGGTCGAAATTAAATATTGCTCGATTTTGCTCAAATTTCATATGTAGGTCTATTTTGGCACTTCTGTAATGCCCCACCCCCCCCNGTACTTGTTATTATTGTCATTTTAAAAACTGAGCATAAGTGTCTGTGAAAGTAAGAAAGTGTGGGGAAGGCATGTTGAAGTTTTTGGAAAATTTATCTAGACGATAATCTTTGTACATTTTATTTAACTATTACTTAAAAAAACAGCATTTCTGTGAGATTTGGAGTAGAATTAACATTGTTGCAGGTATTTGATGATTCATTTAACTTTTCACACTGTTTATGTTCAGTAAGATTTACATTTAAAAAGTACTTTTGAAGAATTCTACACGCTTTCTTGAACTTTTTTGTACATATTTAGTAATGATTGTCGACATCTAATGAATAATTGTGGGTAATACCGAGTAAAAGGAGTCCGTATTATTTGCACAAATGCTGCGTTTATAGGATAGGGGTTGTCATTTTGGGCACAGTGCAAGCTGATAAATGGGTACGAAGAACAATGGTTTTTATTTGCATATTTGGGATCATATCATCCAACAACTGTTTGCTTTTCGTACATTTTTTTCTGGACTGCTGATAGTCCCTTCGGAAATTTTGGTTTGGATACGTAAAAACCATCGACAGGTGTCCAATACTAGCTGATGGTATTTTCGAAAACAATACTCCACAATATCATAATATATCCTCTTTTGTCTCTTTGCGGTTGTAGCACGTTTCCGCTTCGATTTTCAATTTTCAAATTGCATCTTATATCTTTTCTTCTCATGTAAAATGATATTAGGACCAAAGGCCCGAAAAAGGTCAGGTTGTGAGTTAATTTGAATCTACTAGTGGATGATCCATGCCTCAATCGACGTCGGCATATCTGCACAATTATTGGCAAGCGCAAACTATTATTACTAACTTACTATCATTATTATTATTTAGCCCTCTGATAAAGATATCGGTTAAACTATGACAAGCGTTCCAACAAAATTTAAAAATAGATATTGTGTATTTAAAAATATCGTATTTTTGTGTTTCATGCAACATTCTTTCGACAATGTTATTTGGATGAATTTATTACAATGCTTTTGTTGTGTTGTTGTGTTTTTGGTACCTGTAAAATAGCAATGGAGACAGACTAACAAACTTGATTCTTTATTCGCGTCGCAGCTTCAAATCTTTACATACAGACAATAACACATAGAAATTCGTGTTATTGATATACAATATCAATCACGAAATAAACCACACATTGGATTTAATTATTGTACAATGAAAATCTAATGCAGAACAAATTAATAATAGATTCGTACATAGGAAATTCTTGTTATTGATATGAAATAAAACCACACTTTCGATTTAATTACAGTACAATACAAATTCTATTGTAGAAAAATTATAAGCAAAAAATTGGGAAAATTAGTTTAGTTAAAACTGGTGGGAATTAACTAAGCAGAGCTACTCTTACTTGGCAGTGAAGGATCGATGTCTAATGAGGAATAACTCGAGCAGCAGGGACACTGAATTTCGACGGCTAGGACGATATGTACTCTGTCACCTTTACCTGTGAAGTGCATGTACAAAAATATGTAAAATATGGACGTGTTGGGGCATGGGAATCGTTGTCGCTTTGTTTATTACCCGTTCCTAGATGTGCGAGAGTCTAAGAGACCCATCGTCTCGATTCAGAACTGTCCCGCTGCGGCGTATCTAGATGGCTTTCTTTACCTGTTGCTGAAACAGATTCCTCTCTCTCTCTGTCCAACTTTTCGGTTTTAACTAGTAAATAACATAATTATGCTGATAGCCATTTTATTGACATTGGACTCCGACTGTTTCTTTTCTAATCGGATGAATTTCTTTCTTTCTTTATAATTAATTCTGTGTCTTTCCGGTGTTAACTTATTCGAACGCCAAATCGTCCTCAGTTTTTGTACCAAATTTCGAACATGCATTCTGCGACGTTTCTTTCAGATGTTTTATTCTTAGTGTGAACAAGGTTATTACGAAGCG